AAAAAAAAAAAAAAAAAAAAGAAAAATGAACTGATAATGTAACCATAACTCACACAAGGCTGGCTGGACATAACCCAATCAGATCAATTGGCCAATAAAACAAAAATATTAACATCCTTGGAGCAAGAAGTAAGGGCAAAAACTGTTAAAATTAAAGGAAATTTTTTAAAGTCTCAGAAGAAAAAAATGTAATGAAGGGCTAAATGGGAATTTTAGAACTAAAAATAAAATAACCAAAAACATTTCACTGAATAGGTTTAGTAACAGAAAGCAAATGGCAGGAAACTTGAAGACAGATCAATAGAAATTATCTAACTAGAACAACAGTGAAAACAAATTGGAAAATAAACAGAGCCTCAGAGACCTGTGGAATGATAAAAAGTTATTTGTGTCATCATTCCCAGAAGACAGTAAAGAGCCAGGCATGGTGGTTCACGTCTGTAATCCCAGCACTTTGGGAGGCTGAGGCAGGCAGATCACTTGAAGCCAGGAATTCAAGACCAGCCTGGCAAACATGGTGAAACCCTGTCTCTACTAAAAATACAAAAATTAGCTGGGGGTGGTGTCGCATGCCTATGATCCCAGGTACTTTGGAGGCTGAGGCTGCAGTGAGCCGAGATCATGCCAATGCACTCCAGCCTGGGTGACAAAGTGAAACTCAGTCTCAAAAAAAAAAAAAAAAAAAAAGCCAGACACCACGGTGGCTCACACCTGTAATCCCACCAGCACTTTGGGAGCCCCAGGCAGGCAGATCACTTAAGGCCAGGAGTTTGAGACCAGCCTGGTCAAAATGGTAAAACCCTGTCTCTACTAAAAATTAAAAAAAAAAAAAAAATAGCCAGGTATAGTGACAGGCACCTATAATTCAAGCACGCTGGGAGGCTGAGGCAGAAGAATTGCTTGAACCAGGGAGGCAAAGGTTGCAGTGAGCCAAGATTGTGCCACTGTACTCCAGCCTGGGTGACAGAGCAAGATTCCATCTCAAAAAAAAAAGAAGAAGAAGAGAGTAAAGAATGTGATACACAAAAATTTTGAAGAAATAATGATTGAAAAGTTTCCAAATTTGGTAAAAGACATAAACCTAGAGATTCAAAAAGCTCAGTGAACTCCAAATAGAATAACAAAAAAATCCTCACACAGCCCCATAATTAAACTACTGAAAAGAAAACTTTGAAAGTGACCCGAACAAAACAATGTATTACTTATAGAAGAACAGTAATTGGAATGACTAAGATTTTTATCAGAAACCACGGAGGCTAAAAGAAAGAACAGCATTTTTTAAATGCTGAAAAAAAGGAACAATCAAGACAATTTTATGCCCAGTAACAATATTCTTCAGTAATAAAGGTAAAATTAAAACATTCTAAGATGGGCCGGGCGCGGTGGCTCAAGCCTGTAATCCCAGCACTTTGGGAGGCCGAGGCGGGTGGATCACGAGGTCAAGAGATCGAGACCATCCTGGTCAACA